ATGTGGCCTGCTGGATGGGGGGAGGGACCAGGGGAGGTTGGCTGGCCATGGGAGGTTGGCTGTGGGAGCACACTGACCACCACGGGGCAGCTCCTGCATTGAGCGTCTGCCCCCTGGTGGTCAGTGTGTGTCATAGTGACTGGTCAACTGGTTGTTCCAGTCATTCTGGTCATTCGATTATAATGGTCGCTTAGGCCAGTGGTTGGCAAACTGCGGCTCTTTGGCCCCTTGAGTGTGGCTCTTTCACAAAATACTGAGTTCTGCGCATAGGCCACGAAGTTTCAATCACACTGTATGTGCGCACCCACACGTGGTATTTTGTGGAAGAGCCACACTCAAAGGGCCAAAGAGCCACATGTGGCTCGCAAGCCGCAGTTTGCCGACCACTGGCTTAGGCTATTATATATATAGATGTTATGTTTTCCCAGTGTTTTACTGTGTCCCTACCTCACTTAGGTGCACCCATGAAGGGCATGACAAAAATTAGACTAATTCCTTTGTGAAATTAAGTGGAAAGGGCAAAGATGATAGTCACATTGTCTGAGAGGCAGCAGCAAGCTTTAACAGATGTTTGGAACTATATGGAATGAAGAGTGTGAGTGAGGAGACTAAGGGATGATGTATTCTTTGCCTCTCCCAGTTTCTAGTGACTGCCGGCATCCCTTGGTTTGTGGCCTCGGGCTATATCTTCAAGGCCAGTATCTTCAAATCTCTCTCAGCTCATCGTCACATCGCCTTTTCCTTTGTGTGTCTGCATCAAATCTCTTCGAAGGACACCTGTGATTACATTTAGGGCTCACCAGATAATCCAGGATAAGCTCCCCAGCTCAACATCCTTCAACTTCATCCCATCGGCAAGGACTCCATTTCCAAATGAGCTGACACTTACAGGTTCCAAGGATTGGAACCGGATGTGTGTGGGGGCCATTATGCAGCCTATTACAATGTCTTTTGCCCATTTTCTGCCCGGGTTGTTTGTTTCCTCTGCTGTTGAAATTTTGAGAGTTTTTTATCTAATAGTCTAGATACAAATCCTTTGCAGATATGTGGCTCACAAATATGCCCTCCTAGTCTAGGGCTTGTCTTTTCACCCTCTTCACAAGGTCTTTTGCAGAACAGTTTTTCATTGTGGCGAGGTCCAGTTTGTCCATTTTTCTTTTTACAGAGCATGCTTGTAGCGTCGAGTCCATGAACTCTTCACCTAGCCCTTGCCTCTGAAGTTTCTCCCCAAGTAGCTCCAGTCTGTTTCTAAAAGGTTTATAGTTTTACATCTTACATTTTTTTTCAAAAAAGTTTTATAGTTTGCTTTACTTTTTTCTCGAAAAATGCTATGTTTTATATTTTACATTTGAATCCATGTTTTTTCTGTTGTTTGCCATGATGAGCTTTATTACATAGTTATGAACATTTCTAGGAGACTGTGGTGGACTGTATTATTCTCTCTCTCTCTCTCTCTCTCTCTCTCTCTCTCTCTCTCTCTCTCTCTCTCTCTCTCTCTCTCTCTCGTCCCTTTATGAAGATTAGGTATCTGAGCCCATTGCCAGGCAGGAGACTGAGCCTGAAACTGTCAGGTCCAAGGATATACACTATAGCTGTGACCCAGGAGTCAAGAGACCATCACTGCCACTTTAGATGCCTTTCAACGCCCACAAAGTGAGTAACTAGGTACTAGAACACAGCTGCAGAAACTCCCAAATCCCACACACAACTCTGCCTGCCAGGGGACATGGGTGAAGGGGCAGGAAGGTGGTTCCACCTCACTCTGACTTCCAAATTGCCCCAAGTACCTCTCATTGGCAAAATCAAATTCACAACCAGAGCCCATTCACCATGTCCACTGTACAGGTCACTAAAATTCCCAGGTGCAGTTTCATCGCATACTTTCTTCTCCTGCCTTTACTTTTAATAAATAAAGCTGTTATTATAAAATGTAACAAAAATACAGAAATCATTCAAAACAAAGCGTTCAGCTCAAGGAATTATCAAAGCAAACCCTCGTGTAGCATCACTCAGGTTGAGAGCCAGACAGCGAGCACTCCAGGAGCCCTTCTCAGCCTCCGCCCAATCGCTTCCTGCTCCCTTCCTCCTAAGTGACAACAAACCTGATTTTTATGGACTTCACTTCATTGAATTTCTAATTTTTTTTCCATTTAAACCCAAACACTACAGTTGTTTTTGCCTGTTATGAGCTTAATATACATAGAATTATGCAACATTATAGTTTTGTGTCCAGCGTCTTCGCTCCACATTGTAAGGTTAATCCCACTTGGTGCACACAGTGACACTGCTGTGTAGTATTCCACTGTATAAATCTACCACCATTTACTTAGCCTTTCTGCTGTTAATGGACATTGGAGTGGTTTACCAGTGTGGCTGCTGCAGATAATGCTGCTATAAACAATTATGTGCATGGTTTTTGGTGCACCTATGTATATGTTATTTGGGTATATACCTAGATGAAGATAATGTTATATTTTGAGTTAATTTTTGTATAAGGTAAGTTTAAGTAAAGATTCTTTTCTCTCCCCCCTTTACTCCCCTCCTCCTCCTCCTCCTCCCCCAACACCCCTCCTCCTTCTCCTTCCCTCCTCCTCCTCCTCCTCCTCCTCTTCTTCTTCCTGAAAAATCAGACAGAGGCCGAAAACCAGGACTGCAGGCTTTATTAGAAGAGAAGCACCTGCCGGGCTGTCTCGCAGGGGAGGACAGCAGCATGTGCAGGGGTGGGCACGCCTTTTGAGGGGCGGAATGGGAAGGGGTGGGGGCTTAGTGTACTCGGAGCACACTGATTGGTGGCTTACTGTATGGTCCATATGGACAAGGGCTTAGGGTATTTGGCAGGTGTGGATTGGTGGTCCAAAGTATAGTCCATATAAGGTACATGGTTAATCACTCAGGTATTTCTGGGCTGCAGGTTACGTCATACTCTGCCCACCAGTTGTGGGAAGGGAGGATTTATAACTTCCTTCTCCTTTGCCTATGGATGTCCAATTGCTCCAGCATCATTTATTGAAAAGGCATGACAGGGTTTTTTGTTGTTTTCTTGTTATGTTCTAGCCAGTGTTCCCCTAAACTAAAAAGCAGACCATATCATTCTCTGGTTTAAATTCTTCAATGGCTTCTTATTGCACCAGGAGGACACGGACTCTCCAACCTCACCCTGGGTCCCTTTCACCCACTCCCCACTATGTCCAGCCACCTCACCTTCTTCTCAGTCCCCCAAACACTTCAATGCCTTTGCAGTTGCCGTTCCCTCTACTTCAGCGATTCTCAACCTGTGGGTCGAGACCCCTTTGGGGGTCGAACGACCCTTTCACAGGGGTCGCCTAAGACCATTGGAAAACACATATATAATTACATATTGTTTTGTGATTAATCACTATGCTTTAATTATGTTCAATTTGTAACAGTGAAATTGGGGGTCACCACACCATGAGGAACTGTATTAAAGGGTCGTGGCATTAGGAAGGCTGAGAACCACTGCTCTACTTGGAAGGTTCTTCCACTAGCTCCCTACCTGGCCTCTAGTTTACAAAATAAAGAAGGAAGAAAGCCCAGAGGGAATAGGAGGACAATGAAGGAGGGCCTCACACGGCCCACCCCACCTGAGGTTTGACCTTTGAGCTCAGGAGTTGCTCTAGTGACCAAATCAAAGAGAATGTGGACAACCAGAGGGGATATTGAGGCACAAAAACTGCAGCCTTATAAAATGGTGGGGGTGGGGGCGGGAGGAGGGAAGGAACTGGGAGGGACTCTGTCCCCCTTCGAAAGTGGGAATCTGTGCTTGTCCTTCAATAAATTTCCACCTTTGTTATGCCATCTTCCCTCCGTGGTTTCATTCTCTGACTCTGACGGACAAAGAATTGGGGAAGCCATCCTGCCCAGGGGAACACCGTGTGTTCTAGTCCCCAAATCCTGTATCAATATGAAGTGTGTGTGTGCGTTTCTATTCTTGGGACATTTCCCCATCCCCTACCCAGCAGAGTCTATTCTCCTCCTAAGCTCTGTTACTTAATCACCGGCCCGTCTCTCGCATTAACTACTATAGCATTTCCTATGCGGTGGGCACTCAGTACACACCTGCAGCGTAGTAGGTCTCTATAAATACTTGCTGAATAAATGAACACAAGTTGAACTGAATGTGGTTATTACAAGTTAGCAGAATTTCTAAATATCTATGTTTCTTCTCAGCCAAAAATGATTGCCACTCCATGCTAATGCGCTTTTAGTTAATAGTGTTTCAAGGCCAAACGAATTTGTAATAATCTAGCTCTCTATCTCTCTCCCTTCCTCTCTGTAAAAAATCAATAAAATATATTTAAAAAAAAAAGATTTAAAAAAAAAAACTACATAATAATCATTAAACATTCTGAGAGTATTTTTAACTGGGGAAGAATTTCAGCCTTACATACAGGCATATATAGTCTATTAAGCCAGAGTTGACCCTCTGAAGCAGTGGTTCTCAACCTTGGCTGCACGTTAGAATCACCTGGGGATCTTTTTAAAATCCTGATTTCTGGGCCTCATCCTCCGGAAATTCTGTTTCTTTGTTACTAATGTTGTGGACCCCACCCCATAACAAAGAAACAGAATTTCCGGAGGATGAGGCCCAGAAATCAGGATTTTAAAACAATTCTCAGGTAATTCTAATGTGCAGCCAAGGTTGAGAACCACTGCTCTGAAGGGCTGGCATTGGATATAAAAAGCAGTTTGTTCTTCCCTGCGTTTCTCTTCCTTCTATTTATCTTTTTTTCTTTTCTTTTTTTTCCTTCTATTTGTCTTAAAGGATCCCTATTTGGTGGTAAAATGGAATCAGTACAAAGAAAGACCGGAAAGAAGAACGGACACGACTAGTTTTGTCCTTCGCGCCACCCCGTAGTTTGCGGCCGCCGCCGGGGACGTGCGCGCGTGTTTGAAAGCCCGGCGGGTTCCAGTCACAACAACCGTAGCGGGAGGTGTGCTCGGCCAGCGCGACGCTGAAGTAGCCGCGGGGTCCTGTTGGCGGCCCCTCGGGACCAGTTTTTCAGGTAACCTTGGCCGGGGCCTCTCGTCCGCCGGCTCCTCTTCCACCTGGAGCGCGAGCGCCGCGCCGCCCGGGTAAGGGGGTGTGGGGGGCCCTTACCTCGGGCCCTGATCGCGCGGGCCTGGGTGCCGGGTCGAGCATTGGCGTTTGTAACAGCTCGCGGCCTCGCAGGAAAGTTGAAGACGTTGGAAAGCGGGCGTTAAACTGGGAATTATCTTAGGATCCTTTCCTGCAACCCAGACTCCAGAATCACGGGGTAGGATGGGGATTTGGTGGGAGAAGTTGTTCTTTCTCGAAGCGAAGCCCGGCCGTCTGTCCTGGTGGTGGCAGCTCCGTGGGCGGATACGTTGGTCAGGCAGATGGGGGAGCCCCGGCCTGGCCAGCTGCAGTGGGTTCCGGAGGGCTCGCGGGGAGGCCCCCCTCCAGGCCGGTGTTCGCGGTGCACCAGATCCGAACACCAGGCCGTATGCCGGGTGGGAACTGTCGTCTCGATTTCCGCTCTGCAGGGAGTTAGAGCCGGTGAAGGGTCTGTAGCGGGGACGGGGGGGCTGGAGTTGGAGGAAGAAGGGCGAAGCACAGTTCCCTGCTTCGAACCCCGCAACTAACGTTGTCCCCGGTTTCCAGGTGAGCTGACGGCGCAGGTGGAGGGAGGATTTAAACCACCGGCCTCTGTAAACTCCCAGACTAGGGGGTAACGGGCTGTGCCTCAGTCCCCAGGAGTCCTCCTGAGGGCGCCCCGGGTGCGGGCCCTTGGGGATAATCCGATCAGAACTTCCGCCCCGCGTCCCCCACCCCCCGCGTCCCCCCGCGGTGCTCCTATGGGCTTATCTACACTTGGCGTCGCCCGCGGTGTCTCTGTTTGTTTAGCCGGATGGTGGCTGACAAGTGAATGGAAAGGGGATCTTGAGTGTGAATCTAAAGGCAGTGGTGGTGATTGTAGCTACCTTTAAAACCAATGAACAAACGTCTTGTTAATAGAAAAGTAAAGCCGGGTCTTTGAGATGATTTCTTTTTCCTTGGCACAGAGTTTTCAAAGGTGCCGCGTATTAAGGGCTCTACAAGAAATTAAAGCAAGTATTTTTTATAGACAAACCAAATGAGCTTTAGACATGTAGGAACGGTTTGTTTTACAGTAAGTAACGAATAATATGAAACCTCACTATTTTTTAAAATATATTTTATTGATTTCTTACAGAGAGGAAGGGAGAGGGATAGAGAGTTAGAAACCTGCACCCCCCCACTGGGGATACGCCCGCAATTAAGGTATATGCCCCTGACGGGAATCGAACCTGGGACCCTTCAGTCCGAAGGCCGTCGCTCTAGCCACTGAGCCAAACCGGTTCGGCGAAACCTCACTATTTTTTAAAAAAGAAAAATTAATTTATTAGTAAAAAAGGTTCTATAAGAAATATGTTATGGAAGAAATAGAAAGCCCGGATTAACTTGCATGTATGTGCAGTATGTACATTTTATTTGCATAGACGATTTTTATAATAGCTAATTGAGATGTAATTCACGCAGCATAAAATTCATCCTTTGAAAGTATATAATTCACACATATGTAATACCCTTTGTAATACTGTAAGCAATAAAAAAAAAAGAAAGTATATAATTCAGTGATAGACTCAATCCCATTGTTGAATATATTCAACCACTACCTAATTTAGAACATTTTCATCACCCCCAAAAGAAGCCCCACACCCACTTCCTCCCTTCCTCCTAACCCCCTGGCAGCTGCTAAGCTATTTTTGTCTGGATTTGCCTATTCTGGACATTTCGTGTAAATGGAATTACCTATTTATTCATCACCTGTTGGATATTTCTGTTCCCTTTTTTTGGGCTGCTATAAATAATGCTGTTTGCATAGACAATTTCTTTAAAGGGTGTGAAAGACCTGTTAACTATTAGGAAGTGTGAGAAGGAGATTGACTCTTTAACTTTTTGTAGTGGCGATTTTTTTTAACCAACTTCATATATTTTTAATTAAGACAAAACGTGCCTTAGTTGCAGGCTCAATCCTGGCCCCCGCCTTGTGCAGGAGACAACATATCACAAGTGAGACACATCTATGTTTCTTTCTCTCTGCTGGGTTTGATTGGGTTGTGAGCGCGATCCCTAGTAGGGGTAGCTCAGGAAGCAGTCGATGGATGTGTCTCTCTCATCAGTGTTTCTATCTCTCTCTCCCTTCCTCTCTAAAATAAAAAAAAAACCAAAAAACTATATATAAAAAAAAAGACAACAGAAAAAATCTTTCACTAATAGTATGGCCTTGGGTAAGGAATTGTACCTGTCTGGGTTTCAGTTTTCTCATTTCTCATGTAAATAAAATTGGACTAGATATTTTTCTTTTTTAAAAATATTTTTTTACCATGAGTGAAAACTTTATTGCTCCAAGCAATTTACATGAATGTCACCAGCACCTCATTGGGGCAAATATATAAAAAGCACAATCTTCTCAGCTAATGCACTGTACAGAAGCTTCCCAGGCCACACCCTCTGCACAACGGTTGCATTTCAATGGCAGCAGCTGTACTTGCTGGAGCCTCCTTTGCAGATGCAGCCCTAGGCACACTTGAGGGGGCTGGAGGAGCAGTGGCTTTTTCAACATGTTTTACAGTTGCAAGCTGTGCATTTGTAGTTGTCTCTACAGATGCATATTCCTCCAGACCATCAGGAGCATTCCCTGGGGTCCATGGTCCAGGTGTCTAAGAGGCTCCCGTGCTGGAGAAGGGAGGCGTGGACTAGATCATGATCTTTTTCAGTTCTCAAATTTAATGCTTAATATGATAAAATGAGAGCTACTATAGGAGGTTTTTCTTAATGAATTAGAGTTGTGTTCTTTATAACTGCAATGTAACTTTCAATTTATTTTTATCATAGGACCTAGATTGATTATTACAATGGAAGAAATCAATAATTTTAAGACACCAAGCAAATTATCTGAAAAAAGAAAATCTGGTAAGATAGGTATACTAGTAAAACCTTTTTTCATTGTTATTGTTATTAGAACTGTAGTTTGATGCTTTAATTACCACCCACAAATTTAGATTAAGGCCTCTTTATAATGTTGATCTTAACAAATTAGACTTACTTTATAGGCCAGGAAATGGTCATCCTGGCCATGACCTGATTTCCTTTATTCCTGATTATCGTGAATGTATGTTGAACTTTTCAGAATCTATTGGGATAGTTTTATTTTTTAGTCTGTCAATATGGTAAATTCTGTTAATTTTAAAATGTTAAACCAAACTTTCACTCCTGAGGTAAAGCCAATTTAGTCATGAGGTATTTTATATATTGCTTGATTCACTTTGCTAATATTTTCTGTGTTCAAGAGGGATATTGGACTGTTGCTGTTTTTTGGGTTTTTTTGGAATGCCTGTCTAGTTTTGGTATCAGGGTATTCTGTATTCATAAAGTAAGATGGGAAGTGTTCCCTTTTCTTGAAGAGTATATGTAGAAGTAATATATTTCTTCTTTAAATGGTAGAATTCACCAGTAAAGCCATGTGGGCCTGAAGTTTTCTTTATAGGAAGTTTTTTTTTCTTCAGTTTATTTTAATATTATATTAATATCTTAAGAAAAACGATCTTAAATATAATAATGTTACATACAATAAACAATATCTCAAGAAAAACGATTTTAAATATGATAATGTTACATGCAATAAACACCAGTTATTCAAGAAAAATGATCTTACATATAATAATACTAGAGGCCCAGTGCAGGAAATTCTCCAACTGCTGGCCAGGGCCTTCCTTCTTTCTGCGCCGACCCCTGGTGGTCAGCGCATGTCATAGCAAACAATTGAACTCCTGGTTGGTCAAACTCCAGAAGGGACACTTTGCATATTAGGCGTTTATATACATACTAGAGGCCCGGTGCACAAAAATTTGTGCACTGGGGGGGGGGGGGGTCCCTCAGCCCGGCCTGTGCCCTCTCGCAGTCTGGGACCCCTCGGGAGATAACGACTTGCTGGCTTAGGCCTGCTCCTGGGTGGCAGAGGGCAGGCCCAATCCCTAGGTGCAGCCCCTGGTCGGGCTCAGAGCAGGGCCGATTGGGGAGTTGGGGCGCCGCCCCCTGTCATGCACAGAGCAGGGCGGATTGGGAGTTTGCGATGCCACCCTCAGTCATGCTCAGGGTAGGGCCGATTGGGCGGTTGGGGCACCGCCCCCTGTCAACTCAAGGCAGGGTCGATAGGGAGGTTGCGGTGCCACCCCCTGTCACGCACAGAGCAGGGCCCATCAGGGTGGTTGGGGTTCCTTACCCTGTCACACACAGAGCAGGGTCGATCAGGGGGTTGGGGAGCTCCCCCCTGTCGCGCACAGAGCAGGGCCCATCAGGGGGTTGGGGAGCTCCCCCCTGTCACGCACAGAGCAGGGTCGATCAGGGGGTTGGGGAGCTCCCCCCTGTCATTCACAGAGTAGGGCCGATAGGGGAGTTGGGGCACCGCCCCCTGTCAAACATACAGCAGGGCAGATCAGGGGGTTGGGGCGCCGCCCCCTATCACCCACAGAGCAGGGCCGATCAGGGGGTTGGGGCGCCGCCACTGTCACACTCAGGGCAGGGCCGATGGGGAGGTTATGGCTCTACCCCATCACACACAGAGCAGGGCCCGTGGGGGCGGGGGGGTTGGGGCACTGCACCCTGTCACACACAGAGCAGGGCCGATCAGGGGGGCCCATCAGGGTGGTTGGGGCGCCTTCCCCTGTCACGAACAGAGCAGGGCAGATAGGGAGGTTGTGGCCCCGCCCCCTGTCACACACAGAGCCACAGGGCAATCAGGGGGTTTGGGCACTGCCCTCTGTCACGCTGATCCCGGTGTTGGGAGGCATATTACCCTTTTACTATATAGGATAGAGGCCTGGTGCATGGGTGGGGCTGACTGGTTTGCCCTGAAGGGTGTCCTGGATCAGGGTGGGGGTCCCCACTGGGGTGCCTGGCCAGCCTGGGTGAGGGGATGATGGCTGTTTGCAGCTGGTCACACATCCTTCAGGGTGGGGGTCACCACTGGGGTGCCTGGCCAGTCTGGGTGAGGGGCTGAGGGCTGTTTTCAGGCTGGTGGGTGATGGAAGCTCCCAACTGCTCCTTTTTTTCTTTTTTTTTAAATTCTGGGTCAGCTTTAGCTCTGAGGCTCCAGCTCTTAGGCCTCTGCTGCTGAAAGCAGGTATCTGGTTTGTTTGCGTTCTATAGTCGAAACAATGTATATCTCCAGCTCTGAGATCCTGGCTCGCTGAAAGCAGGTTTCTGGGGTTTTGTTTAGCTTCTGTATTTGTTACAATGTTTCAAACTGCAGGCTCAGAGGCTGGCAAGGCAGGTGGGGAACGTTGGTTTCCTCCGTCACTGAAGCAAGCAAGCCTCATGTTAGTTTCAAGCTGCCTGGCTGCCGGCCGCCATCTTGGCTGCAGTTAATTTGCATATCGCCCTGATTAGCCAATGGGAAGGGTAGCAGTCGTATGCTAATTACCATGTTTCTCTTTTATTAGATAGGATATAGATTACATGCAATAAACATTAATATGTAAAGAATAAAAGGATTTTAAGTATAATAATATTACCAAAACTGTACTAACATAGTATGATATCACAGAAGTTGTAGGAAATATTAAAAATCTGCAAATAACAGGATTATTTCTATTATATTCTAGAATACTTTTTTTTCTCCTCTGACACTATCTTTGTTCATCAGTTTACGTTGTTCATTATATTCCACAAATGAGTGAGATCATATGATATTTATTTTTCTCCAACTTGCTTATTTCACTTAGCATGATGCATTTAAAGTCTATTTTGTTGGATATGAATATTGCTACTCCAGCTTTTTTATCTTTTCCATTTGCATGGAAATTTTTTGTTCACCCCTTCACTTTCATCCTGTGTGTCTTTTGTTTTGAGGTGGGTCTCTTGTAGACAGCATATGATTGGATCATGTTTTTGTATCCATTCAGCTACCCTACACCTTTTGATTGGAGTATTTAATTCATTTACATTTAGAGGGTTATTATTGAGAACTACTTATTTATAGCCATTTTAATTTTGTATGGCTAGGTTTCTCTCTCTGTTTCTTCTCAGCATTCTCTTACAGCAATCCCTTTAGCATTTTTGTAATGCTAGCTTGGTGGTGATGAACTCCTTTAGTCTTTTTTTGTCTGGGAAGCTGTTTATTTGACCGTCTATTTTGAATGATAGCCTTGCTGGATATAGTAATCTTGGTCTCAGATCCTTGCTTTCCATTACCTTGAGTACTTCATGCCATTCCCTTCTGGCCTGTAAAGTTTCTGATGAGAAATCAGGTGTCAGCCTTATGAGAACTTCTTTGTAGGCAACAACTTTCTTTTCTTTTGCTGTCTTTAAAAGTCTCCATTTGTCTTTAATTTTTGGCGTTTTAATTATGATATTATGATGTGTCTGGGTGTGGGTCTGTTTGGGTTCTTCTTGTTTGGAGTTCTCTGTGCCTCTTGGTGAACTTGTGTGACTTTTTCCTTTTCCAGGTTAGGGAAGTTTTCTATCATTATTTCTTCAAACACCTTCTCTATTCCTTTCTCCCTTTTTGCCTCTTCTGGCATTCATACTATTCTAATATTGTTACGTTTCACATTGTCCCACTGCTCCCTTAGGCGGTCCTGTTTTTTAATTGTTTTTTCTTTCTGGTTCTCTAATTGAGTGATATTTTCAACTCTGTCTTCTAATTCACTGATTCGATCCACAGCTTCCCCTAATCTGCTGTGTATTCCTTCCAATATGTTCTTTATTTGTGTTATGTCATTCTTTATCTCAGACTGTTCTTTTTTCATAGTTACTATATCTTTTTTCATATTGTTGAGCATTTTTATTTATTTTTATTTTTTTAATATATTTTATTGATTTTTCACAGGGAGGAAGGGAGAGGGATAGAGAGCTAGAAACATCGATGAGAGAGAAACATCGATCAGCTGCCTCCTGCGCACTCCCCACTGGAGATGCGCCCACAACCAAGGCACATGCCCTTGACCGGAATCGAACCTGGGACCTTTGAGTCTGCAGGCTGATGCTCTATCCACTGAGCCAAACCGGTTAGGGCTTGTTGAGCATTTTTAACATCATTACTCTGAATTCTGTTTCAGATAAATTTCTTATCTCTTTCATTTATTTATCTCTTTTTCTGGAGAATTCGCTAGTTCTTTCATTTGGGGGTTCTTTCTTTGTTTCCTCAGTTTGGTTGTCTCTTTGGGTTTGTGACTATGTTTTAGATAGATCCTCTATACCTCTCAATCTCTAGTGCAGGATAGTGTTAAAGGTTGTTTCTGACTTATTAGATCAGGCAAAGACTCCAAACCTCCAGAGACTGCCTCTGTCCACAGACTAGTAGGATTCTGACTTGAATTGCCCCCAGCCAGGCAATGGTCCTCAGGTGTGGCAAGACTCTTCCCCCAAGGCAAGGCAGATGTCTATGTGGGAAAGATGTCCTCCACAGTGTGAGGGAATTACACAGCCCAGGAAACTTGGGGTGTCTGCCTTCTGAGCTCTGTCCCCCGAGTCCCCAGTCATGAGTTCTGCTCTTACAGCTCCAGTCCACTTCACCGTCCCTCTGCCAGAGCACAAGGTGGGTGGCTCAGGGAATTTTTGTGCGTTGGCTCTTTAAGAGGGTGCCCGAACTTTTAGCTGCCACTCCTTGGCAGACAACATCCCACTGCTTTTCACAGCTAGATGTGGGTACCCTCCTCAGTTTTGGTGCTCTCTGCTAGGGAGCCCAACTTCGGGATTAGATCCCAGAGTTCTCAGTGGCACCCCCCCCCCACAGCTGAGATATCTCTCCGGGACTTCAGTTGCCATCTTTGGGTGCCCCACCAGTCCTCTAGCGCCTCTGCCCCTCCTATCAGTCTCTATACGGTCTCCACCTTTGGTCCTTGGGTATCAGGGTTCTCTCCTGTGAGTTTTCCATTGATTATTCAGGAAGCCTTTCCGTATTTCACTTGCAATTCCAGCTTGTTCCTGGGAGCATGTCCATGCAGAACCCTCCTACTCTGCTGCCATTTTAAATCTCCAATTGTTTTGAAGTTTTATTTTTTACCTATGAATTGAACTGAGTCCTAAATTTGTCTAGTTTTCCTGGATGTTTAGCTACAGCTCTCCAGACTAATACTTACTTTTTTCCCATCCTTAGCCTTGGAATCATTGAGTACTAAAATCTTCTTTATAGGAAGATTTTAACTGTGACTTCACAGTTAAAATCTTCTTTATAGGAAGATTTTAACTGTGACTTCACAGTTAATTGATATTGGGCTATTCAAGTTATCTATTTCTTCTTGTGTAAACTTTGTTAGTGTTTTTCAAGGAATTTGTTTATTCTAAGTCAGCGTGGGCAAACTACGGCCCGCCGGATCCAGCCCGTTTGAAATGAATAAAACTAAAAAAAAAAAGACCGTACCCTTTTATGTAATGATGTTTACTTTGAATTTATATTAGTTCACAAAAACATTCCATCCATGCTTTTGTTCCAGCCCTCCGGTCCAGTTTAAGAACCCATTGTGGCCCTTGAGTCAAAAAGTTTGCCCACCCCTGTAATCTAAGTTGTCAAATTTATGGGCATAAAGTTATTTATGACATACTTTTACTACCCTTTTAATGTCAGTAATGTCAGCAGGGTCTGTGGTGATATCTTTTTGATTTCTGGTACTGATTTTTCTTCCTTGATCAGTTTATCTTGGTGAATGTTTCATGCAATTGAAAAGATCACATTTTCTACTGTTTTTTGGTATAGTGTTACATAAATATCAATGAGGCCAATCTAGTTGACTTACGTTGAACAAGTTCAGGTCTTCTGTATCCCTGTTGATTTTCTGTCTATTCTGTTACTGAGAGAGGTGTATCTTCAACTACAATTGTGGATTTGTCTATTTTTTAAAATATGTTTTTACAGAGAGAGAGGAAGTGAGAGGGAAACATCAGTGAGAGAAACATTGATTGGCAGCCTCCTACACGCCCACACTGGGGATCAAGCTCACAACCCCCAGGCATGTGCCCTGACTGGGAATGGAACCAGTGACTTCTTATTTCATGTGTTGATGCTCAACCACTGAGCCATATCAGCTGGGCTTGATTTGTCTATTTTTTTCTTTCCATTCTATCACTTGTTTTACATTTTTTGAAACTTGTTATTAGGTACATATACATTTAGGAAGGTTTATTCTTTGATGAATTTACCCCCTTACTGATATGAATTGTTTTTATTTATCTGATGATGTACTCTCTTCTAAGTTCACTTTATGTGATATTAATTGAACCACTCCAGTTTGATTAGTGTTTGAATATTATGTTTTACAACCCTTTACTTTTAACCTATTTGTGTCTTTATATTTAAAGTGAGTTTATTACACAGCATGTAGTTACTTATGTCTTGTTTTGGTTTTATCATGTCAACTTCTGCCTTATATTGGACTGTTTAGTCACTGTCTACATGTGGCTATTTAAATTTAGATTCAAATGAATTAAAACTAAATAAAATTATAAATTTAGTTTCTTAGTTATACTAGTCACATTTCCATCATGACAGGAAGTTCTATTGGATAACACTGTGTAGACCATTTACATTTAATGTAATTCTCTATGGTTGGATTTAAATCTATTTTTTTATTGTCCATAGCAAATTGGTGATATCCTTATTTTTCTTCCTAATATTTTTCTCTGTGCTTCATTTTTTTAAAAAAATATATTTTTATTGATTTCAGAGAGGAAGGGAGAGGGAGAGAGAGAGAAACATCAATGATGAGAGAGAATCATTGATCGGCTGCCTCCTGCATGCCCCCTGCTGGGGATTGAGCCTGCAACCCAGGCATGTGCCCTTGACTGGAATCGAACCTGGGACCCTTCATTCCGCAGGCTGATGCTCTATCCACTGAGCCAAACCAGGTAGGGCTGTGCTTCATTTTTGATATTTTTTGTTGTTTTGTCTTAAAATTTAGTGACCTTTTGCTCTAAGATGGTATCATTCTTATCCTTTGTATTTTTCATTTCTCTTAAGTTCATTAGGATCTTTTTTAATTTTTCTGTCTTAATTTGTTATGCTCACATTTTCCTTTACATCATTAGTGTATTTTTTAAGATTTATATGTTAAGGCTTTTATCTGCTACTTCTATATCTGTATGTTTCTATTGGTTTATTTTTCTCCTGGAAAGGGTCATATTTTCTTGCTTCTTTCATACCTGGTAATTTTTTATTGGCTGTGAGAGATTTTACATGGTTAAGTGCTGAACTTTATTCCTTTGAAGGGTGTGTGATTTTGTTGTGCTGAACCTGCAGTTAAGTTTCCTGCACATTGGCTTTTTTCTTTTGAGTCTTGCTTTTAGGCTTTGTTCTAATTTTTTTCCTTAGGCTAAAATTTAGCTGCACTACTAAGTCATGACCCTTTAGAGCAGCGTTTCTCAACCTGTGGGTCGCAACCCCTTTGGGGGTCGAACGACCCTTTCACAGGGGTCGCCTAAGACCATTGGAAAACACATATATAATTATATATTGTTTTGTGATTAATCACTATGCTTTAATTATGTTCAATTTGTAACAATGAAATTGGGGGTCACCACAACATGAGGAACTGTATGAAAGGGTCGCGGCATTAGGAAGGTTGAGAACCACTGCTTAAAGGACTTTATTCAATGCCCTGTGTTAGAGTTACTACACTCTGGCTGATCGTAAGTGAACTATTCCTAGACCTGTGTAATCTCCATCATGATTTAGCCTATTACTTGGGTTTGGTTGTTTCTCCAGCTTTGGGGAATCATGTCCATTATTTGTACAGAAAGTATTTAGTCAAATGCTTAAAGGGAGATAGATCTCTTTTTAGATCTCTGGAGCTTTCTTATTTTGTGGCTTCCTCTTTAGTTCTCTGCTCCATAAATTCTAGCTATTTAGGTTTCCTTGACCTATGACATCTCTCTCCTCAACTTGACAAGACCTCTGAGCACTGTTTCTTTGTGCTTTGTCTAGAAACTGCTTTTTAGCAGTAAGTTAGGGTAACGATAGGGATCCCCCCATTTGTTTCTCTTCTCTCAAAGATCACAATCCTGCTCTGCCTATTGTCAGGTATATGAAAACTGTTATATTTTGTCAAGTTTTCTAGATGGCAATTCCAAGGGAAGTTAATTATTCACTAGCAAAAATAAGACTTCTATATTTTATCTTTTTTTATGACTATATAATGTTTTGTAATATAGATGTACTATAATTATGACTAATGATTATTACTAAGGGGTGTTTTTCTGCAGCCACAAAAGTGAATCCCAATCCTATATAATAAAAGCCTAATATGCTAAGTGTCCGGTCAACCGGTCGGCCGTTCAACCAAAGCATAATATGATAATGATATGCTAGGCCGCCCAACTGCTCGCTAGGATGTGCACTGACCACCAGGGGGCAGATAGTTGACCAGTCGACCAGTTGCTATGACATGCACTAACCACCAGGGTTTAGCTTGCTGCTGGGGTCCGGCTGATTGGGACTGAGTGAGACAGGCCGGACATGCCCTAGAGCCCTCCCATAGTCCCTCCCCAGCTGGCCAACCTCCCACATTCCTTCCCGGCCCTGATTGTGCACCGGTGGGGTCCCTCGGCCTGGCCTGCGCCCTCTCGCATTCGGGACCCCTTGGGGGATGTCGGAGAGCTGGTTTCGGCCCGATGCCACAGGCCAGGCCGAGGGACCCCACTGGTGCACGAATTTGTGCACTGGGCCTCTAATATTCAAATATATATGCTTGCATACATGTATGTGTATGATGTCTTTGGGCACATGCTGTACTGAGGTGTTGGCAAACTATTTGTAAAGGGCCAGATAGTAAATAGTTTAGACTTTAGACTTTGTTGGCCACACAGAAACACTATTGTATATTCTTATTTTACCTGTTTTTGTGTGTGTGTTTCTTTTAATCAACGCTTTCAAAAACATTTCTTAACTTCTGGACCATATAAAAACAAGCTTCAGTGTTACTGTAAGATAGAACTCCAAAAGTAGACTTGACCAAGGGGTCTCCATTTAAAATTAGGGTGGATAGTGTCAAATTGCTCTCCAAAAGATTATGCCAATTAATACTCTTAACAATAGTGTATTGCAAATGTTCAGATGCATTTGCAGAAGTCTTTTCAAATACTAATTTTTAATTCTTTCTGACACTTAGTGTTATGTTCAACTCCATGTATAAAAATTCCTGCCTCTCCATTTATGCAGAAGCTTGGCTATGGCACAGGGGTAAATGTCTACCTTATGAAAAGGTGAGTACACGATTTTAGATTAACCTTTTTACATGGAACCATAGTTCAACTGTACTTGGAGACAAAGGAAAATTCAAGTATTTAGATTTGAGGTATGTTCCTGATCCTGCTATATTCAGTCTCAGAACCTTTTATAACTTTACCAGAGCTCTCTACCTGGTATACATTTCTTTTAACTTTTCTCCTAATTAATTATTAAAGGAACAGTAATCTACCTTATAATTTTTCCTTGGCTTTATGGGAAGGGAAGCAGCCTGACTAACACAATATGTTTTTAGGTTTATATTGTTTCTAGATAGAAATGCTTTCTTTAATATAAAGCTAATTAATTGAGAATAGCATAGCAATAATATGTAAGTGGGTGTCTCGAAGCATTTTGGCCACTTAAACACTCCTTTTGTGTTTGTGTGCTGTTTTGTGAACATGTGTTTTTTAGTGAATAAAAACTCAGTCATCTAAGTTATTTTGAAAGAAAAAATTTTTTGTAGACTCATGGCTAGTCTCATTTTTTTCCCCTTTCTTAAAAAATTGTCTTTAAATGTAAAGTGTGTTGTTAATAAAGTTCTACTGTATATAACAATCAAAAAGCTTCATATGGTGGCTGATTGAAAAGTAGCAGTCCCTGACTGATTCTACTACTCCTTGTAATGTGTCCCTGTCAGCCTGGGATTTTCCTCTCCTGGTAACCTGGAGATTGCCTTTGTTTCTCAGGTGAATTGGATCTTCTGTTGTTCTGTACCTCATGTCTTACTATTTCTTGGTTTACATCTTGTTTTGTTTGAGGACATTTGGTAGCTCCATATGAAAAAGTACACAGAGGTACATTTAAAAAAATGTATATTTTTATTGATTTCAGAGAGGATGGGAGAGAGATAGAAACATCAATGATGAGAGAGAATCATTGATTGGCTGCCTCCTGCACGCCCCCTACTGGGGATCGAGCCTGCAACCTGGGCATGTGCCCTTGTCTAGAGTCGAACGTGGGATCCTTTAGTCCACAGGCTGACGCTCTATCCACTGATCCAAACCGGCTAGGGCCACAGGAGATGCATTTTTGAGAATTGGCATTTCTAAAATGTTTTCATTCTACACTAATACTGGAATGGCTCTTTTTGTTTTTCTGGGCCAGAATTCTTGTTTGGACATAATTTTCCTCCACAACTTTGAGGACATTGTTCCATTATCTGTTAGCCTGCAATGTTGCTGCTGAGAATTCTGAAGCCTTTCTGATTGCCGTTTCTTTTGTTACCTGTTTTATGTTATCTACTAGAGGCCCAGTGCACAAAAATTTGTGCACTGGGGGGGGGGGGGTTCCTTAGCCCAACCTGTGCCCTCTCGCAGTCTGGGACCCCTCAGGGGATGTCAACCTGCTGGTTTAGGCCCACTTCCCGGGGGGATCGGGCCTAAGCTGGCAGTCAGACATCCCTCTGGCAGCCTGGGAGCCCTCGGGGGATGTCCACTTGCCAGCGGGGAGCAGGCCTAAGCTGCAGTTGGACATCCTTAGCGCTACTGAGGAGGCGGGAGAGGTTCCTGCCACCACCGCTGTGTTGGCAGCTGTCAGCCTGGCTTGTCGCTGAGCAGAGCTCCCCCTGTGGGAGCGCACTGACCACCAGGGGGCATCTCCTGCATTGAGCGTCTGCCCCCTGCTGGTCAGTGTGTGTCATAGTGACCAGTCATTCCCAGTCGTTCTGCTATTAGGGTCAATTTGCATATTACCCTTTTATTATATAGGATAGAGGCCTGGTGCATGGGTGGGGGCTGGCTGGTTTGCCCTGAAGGGTGTCCCGGATCAGGGTTGGGGTCCTGCTGGGGTGCCTGGCCAGCCTGGGTGAGGGGCTGAGGACTGTTTTCAGGCTGGCCACACCCTTTTCAGGGTCGTGGTCCCCTCTGGGGTGCCTGGCCAACCTGGGTGAGGGGCTGATAGCTATTTGCAGGCTGGTCAAGCCCCCTAGTGGGGACCCTCAGCCCATGGGGGTGTGGCCAGCCTGGGTGAGGGGCTGAGGGCTGTTTTCAGGCTGGCCACACCCCCTTCAGGGTGAGGGTCCCTACTGGGTGGGGTGCCTGGCCAGCCTGGGTGAGGGGCTGAGGGCCGTTTTCAGACTGGCCATACCCCCTTCAGGGTGGGGGTCCCTACTGGGTGCCTGGCCAGCCTGGGTGAGGGGCTGATGGCTGTTTGCAGGCTGGTCACACCACCTTCAGGGTGGGGGTCCCCACTGGGGTGCCTGGTCAGCATGGGGGAGGGGCTGATGGCTGTTTTCAGGCTGGTCAAGGCCCACAGTGGGGACCCTCATCCCATGGGAGTGTGGCCAACCTGGGTGAGGGGCTTATGGCCGTTTTCAGGCTGGCCACAGCCCCTTCAGGGTGGGGGGCCCTACTGAGGTGCCTGGCCAGCCTGGGTGAGCGTCTGATGGCCATTTTCAGGCTGGCCATGGCCCCAGGCTGGAAGCAGGTATCTGGGATTTATTTAACTTCTATAATTGAAATTTTGTAGCCTTGGTCTCGGCTTGAAGCCTGGGTTGCCCCTGGCAACCCATGTTCCCAGCCCTCCTTGAGCGGAGGCCAGGCCAGCTGGAAGCAGGTATCTGGGATTTATTTATCTTCTATAATTGAAACTTTGTAGCCTTGAGTGGAGCTCAGGGCCGGCCAGGGCAGGCGGGAAGCTTGGCTTCTTCCATCGCCGGGGGCAACCTAAGCCTCCTGCTCACTCCAATTCCGTGGTCACTGCCTTCTTTGTGATGGACTGATGGAGTGAGGGTGTGATGGTTAATTTGTATATTACTCTTTTATTAGATAGGATTCCTTCCAGTGTTCTGAACTTTGTATATTTATTTGTCACCAGTGTTCTGAAATTTCACAGTGACATGCATAGGTGTGGCATTCTGAAAATTCCTGTTCTTAAATTTTTAAGAAGTTATTTTTAAAATTCTTTACTGACATTTTTCACCCCTGTCTTCCTATTCTTTATGTGGATGTTCTACTTACTGGACTGATCTCTGTTTTTTCCCTGATTTTCCTATTTTCTCTTTGTTCTATTTTCTGAGAGATTTTCCCAACCTCATCTTCTGATACTTCTATTGAGTTTTTCATTTTTGTCTATTTTGTTTTTAACTAATTATCTGAAAGTTTTCCTTTTTAAAATGGCATCCTAAGTCTTTTGGGAGTGCTAGAAATGTTCTATATATTGATCTTGATGGTGATAGCATATATGAAAACTCATTGAGCATTTAGTATGCATATGGTCATGAATTACTGTGTTCCTGTATGTTCACAGGCATTCAACTTTACCAATAAACCTCAAACTAAAGACCCTCTGCTTTAGCCCCTTTCAGAACTAGTTTTCAGTCTTGAGAAACTGAGCAGACAGAGAATGGGCTACTGCCTAGAGATACAGTATCAGGAAGGGTATCTAGGAATCTACCTGCTTATGAATAAGTTCAAGAAGTTCATGGGGCCTATTGTCATTTATTTTCATCTGCTTTCTAGCTTCCAAAAGTTTGTTGTGTCTCCTTTGTTATTTCCATCCTTGTTGGTGGGTATATGTCTTAAACTATCCATTTTTTTTACATGACTGAGGCTTCAGTGGGATCAAAATTGTATATGTATGTTCAAGGTATCAGTGGTCTAAAGCAGTGGTTCTCAACCTTCTGGCTCTTTAAATACAGTTCCTCATGATGTGACCCAACCATAAAATTATTGTCGTTGCTACTTCATAACTGTAATGTTGCTACTGTTATCATAATGTAAATATTTGATATGCAGGATTATCTTAGGTGACCCCTGTGAAAGGGTCGTTCGACCTCCAAAGGGGTCGCGACCCACAGGTTGAGAACCGCTGGTCTAAAGTATATTTTTAATGTTAAATGAAGTTTGCATCCCCAGAATAAACCCAACATAGTTTTGATGTATTATTTTTTAAATATATACTGATAGATTTAGTTTGCTATTTGTTTAGAATTTTTGCATCTGTGATATAATTGATACTGACCTGTGGTTTTCATTTTATTGCTGTTTCTGTTTAATTTTTTTCTTATATATTTTTTATTTATTTCAGAGAGGAAGGGAGAGGGAGAGAGAGATAGAAGCATCAATGATGAGACAGAATCATTGGCTGCCTCCTGCACCCACTGGGGTTCGAGCCCGCAACCTGGGCATGTGCCCTGACCAGGAATTAAACTGTGACCTCCTGGTTCATAGGTCAACACTCAACCACTGAGCCACGTCAGCCAGGCTCTGTTTAATTTTTGTAATTAAGTTTATACTAGGCTCTTAACTCTTTTTCTTTCTATTCCTTGGGAAAAATTGAATGCTAGGTCTCTTGAAAGTTTAGTAAACTCACCTGGAAAGTTATCTAGGCTTTGTATTTCTTGTGGGAAGATTTTAAAATCCTGATTAAATTTCTTCTTTCATCAATTTTCTTAGATTTTTTTTCCTTAGAATTTGACCATTTTGTCTTTTAAATTTATTGTTTAAAAGTTTTATTATTTTTTAATCTTTATTTGTTGAAAGTATTACATATGTCCCCCTTCTACCCCCTTGATCCACTTCAGCCCACTAAAAGTTTTATTCACTTTTATTTTTAACCTCTGCTGTTTCTATAGTTATGTCCTCACTTTTTATTGCAATATTATTTGTGCCTCCTTTTATTTTTTTCCTTGTGCAATCTCTGTTTTATTAGCCTTTTCAGTAAACTAACTTTTAGCTTGATTAAGTATTTTATTCAGATTTTATAAATAGTTTTTATCATTATATAGATCAGGATATTTTATGGAAAAGGTAAAGGATGGACTTGGTCACTGAATTCTAAACATTCAAGAGTTAAAACTTGAAACTTAAAAAATATATTTTTCATAAGATGATGATATGAGATTATCCCCAAATGCTCTTGTTATCTAAAACTGGAGGTATAAGAATAGTGTAGACAAACATATGAATGATAGATGTATATGAAATAAGAAATCTAGTGATCCTTTGAGTACATGTTTTTTGATTTAAAGAAGGAAAAAGTCCTGCAGTCATAGAGGTATGCTTATGAGGGTAGTACAAAGCTAAATGGATTCTTAGTTCAATCTGTTGTTGTGTTCTTACAGATAAACTTTAACTTTTGAGGCTATTTTACTAACCTTTGTGCCTATATGCTGTATATACTTTACTTCCATAATTTGCTGTACTCATAAATAAATGGCTACCTTGTCAGGTAAATATTTCTCTGATTTTGTTTTACCTGTTTATTTATTTAGGTCTCAAAACATTTGCACTTTAAATATTAAGCCATAATCAACACAGTTTACATTTTCTCTCTCATTTATATCTTTATTATTATTGCCTTAAGCTCATGTCTTTAAGTATTCAGTGAAGGTAGAGATGGATTGGTTAGTGGAGAGGCATAATATTTGTTGGAGAAGAACAGTCTGCTGCTATATGGACGATTACATATGGGCCAAATGTTTCTTGTATGTCTCTTATTTAAATTGTTTCTTAGAGATTAGTGTTTATTATTTAGCATTTTAGAACTTCTCTGTGGTACATATGGTTAAATGTTTGATAAGTAGTTGGTAGTGCAACATGCTTGATTAGAAAAATTTAAAAATAGTAATTTTGAAGTTTAAAATTTATGACAATCCATCTTTTTTCTTCTAGTTTTCTCTTTTTAGCCCTCCTTTCCAGCAATAGATATCAGACTACTCTTGTAATCAAGATATATCAGTTATTTATCTTCCAGATTGAAAAGGAAATGTAGAAGAGGTGTTGATAGTATAAAATTTTGTAAATTTAAAATGAAACAACAAATTATCAAGTCCTTTTCAAAAATTGGAAGTTCTTGTTAGTCATTTGGAAATAAATGTATTATGTTTATTATTATTTATACATTTTATGATTATTTTTTTAAGATCTCCAAGAGGCTTGTCTCATTCTCCTTGGGCTGTGAAAAAGATTAATTCTAAATGTAATGGTGATTATCAAAGTATGTATCAAAAGAGATTAACTGATGAAGCTAAGATTTTGAAAAACCTTCATCATCCAAATATTATAGGTAAGTTTACATTTTATTTGGTAGCAGGATCTTGTATATTATTCTGTTTATCAGAAACAGTTTATATAATTTCTTAACCATTTTCAGTAATAAAAATGAAGAGGATGGTGGTAGAGTTTGGTAAGAATCAAATTAAGGTAAACATTCTAAAATAAAAGTTAGTTTACATTTTTAGATGCTTAAGTATATATTTAAAGCATCGTGGGATCACTTATATATGGAATCTAATGAACAAAATAAACTATGAACAAAAAAGACCCAGAGACATTAAAGCATGCAACAGACTGACTTGTTTCAGAGGGAAGGCAGGAGGTGGGGGGAAGAGATTAACCAATAAACTTATAAGCGTATATGCATAGCCCATGGATAGACAAGGCCTGGGAGGAGGCAGAATCAGGATGGAGAGAGTCAGTGGGGACATCTAATAATTTCAACAGTAAAGATAAATTTTAAAAAATAATAATTTAAAAAATCATGGGAATAGTTAGTCGTGCCCTAGCTGCCTTGGCTCAGTGGATAGAGCGTCAGCCTGTGACTAAAGGGTCCTGGGTTCAATTCCGGTCAGGGGCACATGCCTGGGTTTCAGGCTTGATCCCCAGTAGGGGGCATGCAGGAGGAAGCCCATCAATGATTCTCTCTCATCATTGATGTTTCTATCTCTCTGTCTCCCTTCCTCTCTGAAGTCAATAAAAATATTAAAAAATATATTTTAAAAAAATAGTCATGATGCTGGTACTATGGAGAATTCAGGAATATAGAGTGATCTTCATTTAGATATAAGTAGGGCTCGAACTGTTATATTTAGGAATGCATAAGATATTTTAAAATTTTAATTTGTGATACTATTTGTAAAAACTGAAGGCATTTTAAATTAGATGACTGAATTAATTTTATAAATAACTAGAGGCCCAGTGCACAGATTTGTGCACTGGTGTGGTCCCTCAACCTGGCCTGTGCCCTCTTGCAATTTGGGACCCCTCAGGGCATCTTGGAGAGCTGGTTTCTGCCTGATCCCCACAGGCCAGGCCGAGGGACCCCATCAGTGCACGAATCCGTGCACCGGGCCGCTAATATGCATATAAGATCTTTGGTTAATCTCTTCCTGCGCCCCCCCCCCCCCGCCCCCCGATCATCAGTCTGTTCCATGTTTCCATGCCTGTGGTTTCCCCTCCTGCGCTGAGCGTCTGCCCCCTGGTGGTCAGTGTGCATTATAGCTACCAGCCAGTTGCTTAGGCTTTTTTATATATAAACTAGAGGCCCAGTGCACGAATTTGTGCATAATTGGGGGGCCGATGGCAGGGCCAGCTGGCCAGGGGGTAGGGGCTGCAGGAGGTTGGCTGTGAGAGTGCACTGACCACCAGGGGGCAGCTCCTGCGTTGAGCATCTGCCCCCGGTGGTCAGTGCACGTCATAGTGACTGGTCGACCAGTCATTCGGGTTGTTCCGTCGTAATGGTTGCTTAGGCTTTTATATATACATAGATAGATAGCTGTTTCATTATATATTTGTCAGTGTTAATCAAGGTCCATTTTCAGTCACAGTACTATGAAAAACGTAAGTACTGTTGTCTTCCCTATTCTAGTAGAAAATGTTATGTTTCTTTAAGGTTATCGTGCTTTCACTGAAGCCAATGATGGTAGTCTATGTCTTGCTATGGAATACGGGGGTGAAAAGTCTCTAAATGACTTAATCGAAGAACGAAATAAAGACAGCCACGATCCTTTTCCAGCAGCCACAATTTTAAAAGTTGCTTTGAACATGGCAAGAGGGTTAAAGGTAACTGTACCATTATATTTTACGTGACTTTTGTGGAACATTAGACAACTAAGTACAGTCTAGCCCAGCCGTGGGCAAACTACGGCCCATGGGCCGGATCCGGCCCATTTGAAATGAATAAAACTAAAAAAAAAAGACCATACCCTTTTATGTAATGATGTTTACTTTGAATTTATATTAGTTCACACAAACACTCCATCCATGCTTTTGTTCCGGCCCTCCGGTCCAGTTTAAGAACACATTGTGGCCCTCGAGTCAAAAAGTTTGCCCACCCCTGGTAGCCGGTGTGCCTCAGTGATTGAGCGACGACCCATGCACCAAGAGGTTGCCCATTCAATTCCTGTTCAGGGTATGTGCCCAGGTTTTGGGCTTGATCCCCGGTGAGGGCCGTGCAGGAGGCAGCCAATCGATGTTCTCACTCATGGGTGTTTCTATCTTCTTTTCCCTTTCTCTCTCTCTAAGAAATAAAAACATATTAAAAACAAAGCAAAACCACCCTAACTGGTTTGGCTCAGTGGATAGAGCATCGGCCTGTGGACTCAAGGGTCCCAGGTTCGATTCCAGTCAAAGGCATGTACCTTGGTTGCGGGCACATACCCAGTAGGGAGTGTGCAGGAGGCAGTTGATTGATGTTTCTTTCTCATCGATGTTTCTAATTCTCAATGGGGAAAAAAAGGAGACATATGTACTACTATTTGTAATACTTTAAACAATAAAAAAAAAAAAATCAATAAAATATATTTAAAAAAAAAACAGAAAAAAACAACAAAGCAAAACCAAGTACATTATATACCTAATCACATGGTAGGATTCTTCTCCAACCCCACAAAAGAAGGGGTTGCCTTGAGTCAGCGGTTCTCAACCTGTGGGTCGCGACCACTTTGGCAGTCGAATGACCCTTTCACAGGGGTCGCCTAAGACCATCCTGCATATCAGATATTTACATTATGATTTATAACAGTAGCAACATTACAGTTATGAAGTAGCAACAAAAATAATTTTATGGTTGGGTCACAACATGAAGAACTGTATTTAAAGGGCCAGAAGGTTGAGAACCACTGCCTTAACACATTGTTTGCGGGTAGTTTTTATTGTGCGCTAACAGGTGGCGTGGGCCATTTTTGCAGTTGAATAGATTACCGTTATACCTGGAAGTACATACATAATTCACCATTGTATGTGTTAGAGACCCAAATTTTGTCCTTTGGAATTCGTGTATCTGCATGTTAGCATCCCTTTAGAGCAATAAAAAAGTATAAAAATAAACGTATTTATATGTTACCCGCATTCTACCGCTAGTCTATAAAAAACGTATTAATACGTGTCCCGCGCTCTACTACCAGTCAACGTAAAATGTATAAATACGTTTCCCGCATACAATGTGTTAAGTGAAAGTTTCCTTATGGCAGCGGTTGCCAACCTTTCGGACCTCACAGACCACCAGTTGGTGACCCGCTGCCTTATGGAATATTTTATGTTACAGAGTGTACTATTTCCTTATTTTGAAAGACCTTCACATAGTCCAAAATAACGAAATAACCCAAGTTAGGCAGTTTTGCTTACAGAGATCACATGTTAGATTTAGTTAAGAAAGGATTAAATTTAACACAAATTTATTATTACTGGGCGTGTAGCCTAACCCCCTATTGATGTAAACAAGCTTCTTAAAGATTGTTTTGTGACCCTAGCTGGTTTGGCTCAGTGGATAGAGCGTCACCCTGCAGACTTGAAGGGTCTCGGGTTCAATTCTGATCAAGGGCACCTGCCTGGGTTGTGGGCTCAGTCCTCAGTGGGAGGCATGCAGGAGGCAGCCGATCAGTGGTTCTCTCATCATGGATGTTTCAATCTCTCTCTCCCTTTCCCTTCCTCTCTGAAATCAATAAAAATATATTTAAAAAAAAGATTTGGGATATAGGTTTTGGCATCATGAATAGTCATCTATAGCAGCAGTCGCCAACCTTTCAGACCTTACGGACCACCAGTGGTCAGTGGACCACCAGTTCGCGACTGCTGATCTATAAGTCAAGTGAAAATAGCTCTCAATTTTATGCAAATAAATTATTGTGCCTTTGGATGGACACAGTGTTAGAAATAAAAATAATTCCATATCCTAAATAACTTAAACAGAAGTAGTGATGGCCCCAGAAAACTGTTGGATGACTCAAATGCAGATTATGTAATGATACTGATGTCAAAATTGTACATTAGAGTTTAAATAAAATTGATATATGAAGTGTGAAATTGGAGAAAGGCAATATTTCTAAAGATGCTTATTTTTTATTTTTAAATATATTTTTATTGATTTCAGAGAGGAAGGGAGAGGGAGAGAAACATCAGTGAATAGAGAGAATCATTGATTGGCTGCTTCCTGCCTGTGCCTCACTGGGGATCAAGCCCCCCCAACCTGGACATGTGCCCCAACCAGGAATCAAACAGAGACCTTCTGTTTCATAGGTCTGCACTCAACTACCAAACCCTGCCAGTCAGACTAAGTATATATTTTTAATAAGCGTATAGAAAAAAAAATTTTAAGTGGATAGGATAAACTAAATCAACAATTTGATTAATAAATGACTTTAAATATATATAATGGAATTAATAAATTATGTATTTGAGCATATTGTCTTTATGATGGGCAACATTTAAATGAAGCACAGTGAGTATTTCAAGTTATATTCCAAGATTTTTGTCTGCATCACTTTCAAACCCAGACATAGAGTAGATGCTCAAATGCTGATGAATGAACAAATAACAGGTTTGTAAGACATTTTTTATTATGGATGAATGTTGTTAGTTGTCAATTCTAAGAAAGGATTAATGTGTAAAACAAAAAATACTCTTAGATTATATTTCTGCTTCCTCTTCTTGTAGCCCTTTGTAGGGGAGGGAGGGAGGGAGCGAGAGCAAGAATGAGAGGAGAGGGGGAATGGGAGAGTGAAAGAGAGGGTAGGAGCGAGTGAGAGAGAAACATCTGTGAGAGAGTCATCAGTTGGTGAGAGAAGAGAGGGAGAGAGAGAGAAACATCAGTGAAAGAGAATCATTGATTGGCTGCTTCCGGCACACCAAGACCGGAAGTAGAACCACTGGATGCATGGGAAGATGCTCAATCAACTGAGCCACACTGGCGGGGCTTACTGATGTTTAAAGAGAGAGGAAACGGGGAGGGAGAGAGAGAGAGAGAGGGAAACATCGATCAGTTGCCTCCTACACATGCCCTGACTGGGGATTGAACCCAAACCTAGGTACATGCCCCAACAGGAATCAAACCTACAACTTTTTCGTGTACGGGACAACGCTCCAACTAACTTAGCCACCTGGCTGGGGCTTCTGCTGTAGCATCTTTTGATATAAAAGTATTAAAAAGGGTTTGTAAATAAAAAGCTTATCTACAAGATTTCCAACATATCTCTTAGATTTCTGGTATGTTTGACAGACCAAGATAACATGAGATATTTCCTTCTCTAGCTTCAAATAATTTGAAAGGATGGTATAATCCTATAGTTTATGAAGGGAGTTCAAATTATATTTGTTTGAAGGTTATTTATGTGTATTTAGTTTGTATTTTTGTTCATATATGTTAAATTTTCCACTATTTTAGTATCTGCACCAAGATAAGAAGTTGCTTCATGGAGACATAAAGTCTTCAAATGTTGTAATTAAAGGTGATTTTGAAACAATTAAAATCTGTGATGTAGGAGTCTCTCTACCATTGGATGAAAATATGACAGGTGAGTAGTATTCTAATTTGTAAAATTTCTTTAATATAATTTTAAAATTTCTAATTTTTACACGTTTAAATAAATAACTTTACATTCTTCAAAAATAAAAAACTATTCATAAAGTGTACAATAAAAATTATCCTTCCTGTATTTTTCACTCAGCCACCAGTCCCGTCTCTTGCCACATACAGAGTATAAATTATTGTTTTCTTATTAATATATATTATAACTGAAGATAACTTTAGGAACTATGTCTAACCTAGATTGGGATTTTAAAAAAATGGTAGAAGATCTGGGAATAGAAAATGAAAAATTTTAAAAATATTTTAATTGTTGTTGTTAATCCTCACCCGAGGATATTCCTCCTGTTGATTTTTAGAGAGTGAATGGGAAGGAGAGACGGTTGGGGGGAAGAGAGAAACATGATGCAAGAGACACACATTGATTGGTTGCCTCCCACACATGCCCTGACTGGGGCCCAGGACTGAACCTGCAACCCAGGTATGTGCCCTGGGCCAGGAGTTGAACCGGTGACCCTTTGGTGCCTGGGCTGATGCTCTAACCACTGATCCACACCAACCAGAGTGAAAATAAAATTTTAATAAGATTTTATAAAGGAATTCATTTAGCGTCAATACATTGACAAGGTTTGGGAAACTGATAGAAGAAGAAACTAGAGTGGAAGTAGGAGAGAGGTGCTAGCAAACGCCAGTATTCCACTTTTTGCCCCGTCCCACCCCACTCATTCTTCTCACTTTATTGTAAACTAGTGTCCCAGTGCACAGATTCGTGCACATTGAAAGTTAATTAGAAGAAATATTTTAATATCTCTATTCGCGTCTTGCTAATGAAAAGAAAATAGGATTCTACTGAGTCTCCTATCTACCAACTCTAGGACTTCTGTGAGGATGAAATGAGATGTGGCACGGGAAAATGCTTCACAAACATTTGGTTAAACTGTAAAATGTTTGCACCTGGCTATAAAGCAAGTCAGGTTCCTGGGCTGAAGAAACTCCAAGGTTGCTAGTCTGTAGGGAGAGGAAGCCGGGCGTTGCTATGTGACATCATTACCTGGCGCCCACAGCAACCATTGCTGGGCTGGGCTAGGCTGTGGGCCGCACTTTGCGCCTTGGGGTCTTGGCAGTGTTGGCTGCGACTTGGTGGGGTGTTGCTCCAAGATGGTGGGGCCTGTGTTCCACTTGGGGGAAGCCTAGTGTTGGTTTGTCGGTGCCAGGTCTGTGGTACCGTTTCTGTTTGCACATCATGATAGCTCCTGTGTTGTGTCTGCCCTCTGGTGGTCAGTGTGCATCATAGCTACCAGTCGGACGGACGAACACAGCCTTTTACATATATAGATACTGTTCATTCTCTTAGGGAATTTAAGTTTTATTCTTAGTGAGAACCAAGAGACAGCTTCAAAGAAAAAGCTTCTGCTTTTAACATATTTAATAACATTTAAATTTTTCTCTTTATATGAATGCTATTTAGAGTACACACACACACACACACACACACACACACACACCTTAATTACCAGCTAAAGTTAAGGTCTATAAGTTGAATTGAAGGAAAAAGTCAAAATAAAGTCATGAACCCTCAGTCTAACTACTACAGATATGAAACTTTAGAAAAGGAGAATTTTTTAAAAAGAATAAAAATAAGATTTTCTAATGTAATTTTCTCAATCCTTAATACATGAAGTAGATAAAACTAAGATGTAAAAAAAATTAAAAGCCGAAACCGGTTTGGCTCAGTGGATAGAGCGTCAGCCTGCGGACTGAAAGGTCCCAGGTTCGATTCCGGTCAAGGGCATGTACCTGGGTTGCGGGCATATCCCCAGTAGGAGATGTGCAGGAGGCAGCTAATCGATGTTTCTCTCTCATCGATGTTTCTGACTCTCTATCTCTCTCCCTTCCTCTCTATAAAAAATCAATAAAATATATTTTAAAAAAAAGAAAAAAAAATTAAAAGACTGAGTAGATAAGGTCAGTCTATGCATTAGAAAATTGATTATATATATTGGTTAGGACATAAAAAAACCCCTTGGTTTACAAAAAGTAGAAGTAGCCTAATGTTTGATATTCATTGTCCTTAGTGAAATACATCTAGGTATTAGTAACATAGTTGGAAACAATAAAAAAAAAAAAAAACACAAACAAATTTTTAAATTTAAAATACTTATAATTGATTCTAGGCTGAATGAAGAAATCAAATTCTAGTTGTAAAATATTTAGAAAACAGTGAGACTGTAACAACAAATTAAAAGCAATTTGTTAGGGTCAAAGCTACACAAAGGAACACATTTTCATTATTTAACCTTTATGAAGTTGAGTCATTTCCTGAGCAAAAGCCAATATGTGATTCGACTCTTTCCCTTTTCCCTGATTTAGTAATCATAGAAGCATAGAAATGGTATTTCTCTCAGCCTAATAATAGCATAGTTTGAAAAATGAAGAAACAGGCACGGAGTAAATGTTTAAGGTTACTGAGCTTGTAAATGTCTTTGAACCCAGGCAAGACAATCTTGCTCTAGAGCAGAGGTCCTCAGACATTCCACACATGCGCACTGTGGGCCTGGGACAAGTCGGCTGCTAAGCAGGACAGGCAGCGGCGGCAAAAACACCTGGCGGGCCGGGTAAATGTTTTCGGCGGGCCGTAGGACCCCTGCCCTAGAGTCTGTATTAACATCCACAATCTATTTATATTCTTACCACTTTCTAAAAGAATTGCTGATTCTCTACACCCTTGGCAACTATCTAGCTTTTTTAATATTTATCAATCTGATAAGGAAAAAGTAATTTGTATTAATTATTGAGGTTGAGTGTATTTTTTCATGTTTACTGGCTAGACTTGATAACCTTTAAACCACCTGTCAAATCATTTGCCCATTTTGGTGGTCGTTGTTTGCCTTTCTCAGTGAGTTCTTGTGCTGGCCCTTATGACAGTTCTACCTGTGTTTTGCTTGTTTCAGTAACTGACCCTGAGGCCTGTTACGTTGGCACTGAGCCTTGGAAACCCAAGGAAGCTTTGGAGGAGAATGGTATTATTACTGACAAAGCAGACATATTTGCCTTTGGCCTTACTCTGTGGGAAATGATGACTCTGTGTATTCCACACATTACCCTTGCAGATGATGATGATTATGATGAAGGTATAACTACATATTTTTAATGTAAAACTCAATCTCTCTGGTTTGAAATAAGATTAGTTTATAAAGTTACATTTTATTTTTCTATTAAGTTAATTTTAAAAAGAACAAGGTGTTTGATTTAGTTGCATGAGTTATAGATTATATTATTGTTGACTAATTTGGTATCATCTTGCTTTAATTTCATACAAATGAGATGTAGATTAATTCAGAACAGGGAGGTAAATTGAGAAAATTCAGAGGAACAAAAAGTTACCTTAAAAACTCTCTTTGCCTGAGAAGATTAGAAAGCTATTATATTAAGGGTTGATGATCATAGATTAAATCCATGTAACAAATGCATGACAATAGCTATTCTACACCATGGGAGGACAATGGAAGAGACTGGTATAATGAAAAGCAAACTGGATGATGTTTCAGAAGGGTGAGTGAGCAGTCGATAAGTTTTCCATGATTTAAAGTGATTTTATTTGTTTCAAACTTTCTCATGAGCAGATAAAACTTTTGATGAAAGTGACTTCGATGATGAAGCATACTATGCAGCTTTGGGAACAAGGCCACCTCTTAATATGGAAGAACTGGATGAGACATACCAGAAAGTAATCGAGCTCTTCTCTGTGTGCACTAATGAAGACCCTAAAGACCGTCCTTCGGCTGCGCACATTGTTGAGGCTTTGGAAATACATGTCCAGTGATCTCATATTCACAACTACCTGAGCTTCAAGTAGGGCTCATATATATAACTGTTCTCTTTACTGTAATACGTTTATGTAGTTACTGTGAGAATCCAGTTATTAGACTGTTTGAAAGTGGCCTGTTTTAGAACCATAGCACCTTGTTAACATTTGAAAAACTTTGTATTATAAAGGTATTTCATGTATACTTATTAGTATTTAATATCGTAGTGGGTTTTCTATAAAACTTAAAAAACTTTTAGACTTAAGGAACAAGTATTGAAATTTGTTCATAGAGATTTAAAACACTAGCAAAATACCATAAACTCCTATGTCTAACATTAATTTGGGTAAGGGAACCAATACTTTTATTAGTGATTTTCCTTGAATATTCTCTACTTAAATGGATCAATTTAAATTAGCACTTTGAAGTACAGAAATTTGATTTTCTTTTAAAACATAAAACTATGCTGGTCTTTCTTGGCTGATATGCTTATTAAATATGGTCATTGGAAGCTGAGAGAATATGGCACAGTAGCTCCTTGGGTATTTCCAAACATTTTCGGTTAAGGCTTGTCTTGTCCTCTTGGTTCTCCTCAAATCTTTGGTGTTTGCTTTCATTTATTAAATGTATTTCTGTACTGAGATCCTTTTTTATTTTTTGTTTTCTAATCTAGCTCTTAAGCATTTTACAGCTCTTGTGTAAAAATAATAAAACTAATAGGATGATACAGAATAACGGACACTTTAGTTAACCAGAAGGTGTATTATCTATTGTATACTCCCGTTGATCTGAGTGTTGTCATTAAAGTTGCAGAATGAATGTGAGTAGATTTCTTTCCCTCTCTTGGCCTTATTTTGTTAATCTGTAAAATGAGGGTGACTTGGGTCAGTAATTTTCTATCTGTGAACCATAGCTCTGAAGAGAGCTGAGCCTAACCAGAAGACTCGAGCGTAGCCCCCCAAAGCCAAGCTAACCCCAAAGAGCTGAGCCTAGCCCCAAAGGGCTGAGACTAGCCCTAAGCCCTGATTCTAGTCCCGAAGAGATGACCCAGTGCCTAAGAACCAAGCCTACCCCAAAGCACCCAACCTAGTCCAAAGGCTTAGCCAAGTCCGGAAGGGCTGAGCCTAGCCCCAAACAGCTGAGCCCAGTCTGGAAGGTGGGAGCCTAGCCCCAAAGAGCCAAGCCTACTCCTAAGAGCTGAACTAGTACTGAAGGAATGACTAGTTCCTAAGAACCCAGCCTCTAGAAAATATTTTTAAAATATATTTTTATTGATTTCAAAGAGTAAGGGAGAGAGAAACATTAATGATGAGAGAGAATCCTTGATTGTCTGCCTCTTACATGCCCCATACTGGGAATTGAGCCCACAACCCGGGCATGTGCCCTGATCAGGAATCAAACCGAGATCTTTGGGTTCATAGGTTGACGCTCAACCACTGAGCGATGCTGACTGGGCTAGAAAATATTTTTAATAAAAAAATGTATATAAACTTGTGGGGTATGACTAAAGATGTGCTTATCAAGATTTATATATAGTCTTACATATTAGAAAAGAGGCTGAAAGCCCTGGGGTTCTCACTGCAGGTCACAAAGAGTTTTCATTTGTAGCCTACAGCATTGTCCCCAAGCAAGACTTATCCTGTCCTTAAAAACCTTGAATCTTGCTCTCTGGATGGAAGACCTTTCCAGAATAAGGAGGTTTTATCCATATTGAATTTAGGTTCTGGCATGTAATTTCCCTCCACAATCAGCTTACCTGGAGTTCCCAAAAATTCTTTACCTGCTTTCACATCAGTGCTTACAGACTTACCACTCATTACATGATCTAATGGATAAAGAACAATTCTTGAACCATTTAAACCACTCAGAGCTGACAGTAAATTCAACAGCATGGCCGGGTCCAGCCTTTAAACATTTCAAGGAAAGTTTTTGCTTTGCCTGTGATCATTTTGGTGCTGGGAGGGTCACGCCTGTTTCGAGTCTCCAATCCAGGTTTAGAAGTTTCTCCCATTTGTTAGTACTAGTGGCCTGGTGCATGAAATTCGTGCATGGGAGGTTGTCCCTCAGCCTGGCCTGCACCCTCTCCAATCTGGGATCCCTTGGGGGATGTCCTAAACTGGAAGTTGGACATCCCTCTTGCAATCCGGGACCGCTGGCTCCTAACCGCTCACCTGCCTGCCTGCCTAATTGCTCCTAACCACTCTGCCTGCCTGCCTGATCGCTCCTAACCACTCTGCCTGCGGCCTGCTCGCCCCCAGCTGCCCTCCCTGCAGGCCTGATCGCCCTCAACTGCGCCCCCTGCTGGCCTACTTGCCCCAACTGCCCTCCCCTCCCGGCTGGATCACCCCTAACAGTCTCTGCCTTGGCCCCGCCAACCATGGCTTTGTCCAGAAGGATGTCCAGAAGGTCTCCTGGAAGGTCTCCCGGTCTAATTAGCATATTACCCTTTTATTAGTATAGATTGTTGCCTTCAGTGAAGCAGATTTCTTAACAGTTTCCATCACTTTGTTCTTGTTCTTGAAGATCGTAGCTATGGTGGAATGGGACATTGCTGACTGGTAAGCAATTAACCATTATTGGTTTTCCACCTTTGTAGTCCTTAATCACTTTAAATTTGTTTCCAGGTCAATCACTCATGGTGGCCTCTTATTGGCAACATTAACAGTGGGTTTTATATGTTTAGGCGCCATGATGAACAAAACAACATGAGATTACATCAGGTGCAATCTCATGAACAACAGGTTAAATCAAGTGCAAGAGAAATTGATGCAGTCAAGAGATGCGTTATATATGAGCTATATGAGGCTGCTACTAGCATAACAGTATACTATTTTATAGTAGACCTTTATATTATTTTTTAATTCTCACCCAAGGATATTTTTTTCCGTTGATTTTTAGAGACTGGGAGGAGGAAGGAGAAGAGAGAGAAACATGGATATGAGAGACACATTGATTGGTTGCCTCCTGCTCATGCCCCAGGATAGGAATCAAACCTGCAACCCAGGTACGTGCCCTTGACTGGGAATTGAACCTGACCCTTCGATGTTCGGGCCAATGCTCTAACCACTGAGCAATGCAGGCCAGGCAATAGACATTTTTAAATAAGGTACAAAGAGTACACTGAAATAATGATAAAAAGTATAGTAAATACATAAGCTGGTAAGTCGTTCATTATCAAGTATTATGTACTATACATAATTATATGTACTATTTTTTTATACAATTGGCAACTCGGTAGGTTTGTGTACACCAGGATCGCCACAAACACATGAGTAACGTGTTGCTGTGTAACATTATGGTGACTAAGATATCAGTAGGCAATAGGAATTTTTCAGCTCCATTATAATTTTATTGGACCACCATAATATATTTGATCTGTTGTTGACTAAGATGTCATCATATGGCACATCACTATATAAATACTACATTTTCTTTACCCATTTATTCATCTATTGATGTACATTTAGGTTATTTCCATGTCTTGGCTATTGTGAACAATGCTGCAATGAACATGGGGGTGCACACACCTTTCCAGTTAGTGTTTTGTTTTCTTCAGATAAATACCTAGAAGTGGAATTGAAGTATGTGATAGTTCTATTTTTAATTTTTTGAGGAATCTATCTCTATACTGTTTGCCATAGTAGTGCACCAATTTACATTCCCACCCACAGTGCACAAGGGTTCCCTTTTCTCCACATCCTTGCCAACACTTGTTATTTCTCTCTTTTTTTAATATATAATAGTTATTCTAATAGTTGTGAGGTGATATCTAATTGTGATTTTGATTTGCATTTCCCTTATGACTACTGATGTTGAGCATCTTTTCATGTACTTGTTGGCTATTTGAATATTTTCTTTGGAAAAATGTCTATTTTGATCCTCTGCCCATTTTAAAAATTAGATTGCTTCTCTTTTTTGCTATTAGGTTGTATGAGTTCTTTATGTATTTTGAATAGTAACCCATTATCAGATATATGACTCGCAAATGTTCTCTCCCATTGAGCAGGTTGCCTTTTCATTTTGCTGATGGTTTCCTTTGCTGTGCAGAAGGTTTTTAGTTTGATGCAGTCCCATTTTTTAATGTTTCCTTTGTTGCCTTTGCTTTTGCGTCAAATCCAAAAAAAATCATTGCCAAGAGCAATGTCAAGGAGCTTACCACTTTTGTTTTCTTCTATCAGTTTTATTGTTTCAGGTCTTACATTCAAGCCTCTAATCTATTTTAAGTTGATTTTTGTTTACGGTGTAAGACAATGTTCCAGTTTTCCAACACCATTTATAGGAAGGACTGTTCTTTCCCCATTGTATATTCTTGGCTCCTTTACCATAAGTTAATTGACCATAAATGTGTGTTTATTTCTGGGCTCTTTGTTTTGTTGCATTGATTTATATGTCTTTTTATGCCAGTATCATACTGTTTTAATTACTATAGCTTTGTAATATAGTTTGAAATTGAGGAGCTTGATACCTCCAGGTTTGTTCTTCCTCAAGATTGCTTTGGCTATTTGGGGTCTTTTGTGGTCCCATGCAAATTTTAGGATTTTTATTCCATTTCTGTGAAAAATGCCATTTGAATTTTGATAGGGATTGCATTGAATCTGTGGATTGCTTTGGGTAGTTTGGACATTTTAACTATTAATTCTTTCGATCTATGAGTACAGAAAATCTTCCCTTTCATATGTGTCAATTTCTTTCATTGATGTCTTACAGTTTTCAACGTATAGGTCTTTCACCTCCTTGGTTAAATTTAGTCCTAGGTATTATATGTGATAGAATTATGAATAGATTGTTTTTCTGAGAGTTTGTTATTAGTGTATAAGAATGAAACAGATATTTTGTATCCTGCAACTTTACTGAATTCATTAGTCTAACAGTTTATTTTTTATCTAGTCTTTAGGATTTTCTTTATATAGTCATGTCACTTGCAAATAGTGACAATTTTACTTCTGTTTCAATTTGATACCTTTTATTTCTTTTTCCTGCCTAGTTGCTCTGGCTAGGACGTCCAATACTATGTTGAATATAATAAAAGCGTAGTATGCAAATTGTCCCTTTGACTGGGAGTTCGACCAGTGGGTGGGGCCGGCTGGGGGAAGGGAGGCCCCAGCCTACAGCTGCTAGGGACCCTACCAGTGCACAAATTTCATGCACTGGGCTTCTAGTGTTGAATAAAAAGGTAGGCGTGGGCATCCTTGTCATGTTCCTGATTTTAAAAGAAAAGCTTTCAGTTTATCACCATTGAATATGATGTTACCTGTGGGATTGTCATATAAGGTTTTTATTACATTGAGGTGTGTTCCCTCTATACCCAGTTAGTTGAGTTTTTAATGATTGTTAAATTTTGTCAAATGCCTTTTCTACATCTAATGTGATGATCATATGACTTTAATCCTTCATTTTGTGAATGTGGCTTATCACATCAATTGATTTGTGGATACTGAACTATCCTTACATTGCTGAAAATAAATCCCACTATCATGGTGTATGATATTTTTAAATGTATTGTTGAATTTACTTTGCTAATATTTTATTGAGGATTTTACATCTATGTTCATCAGGGATATTGGCCTGTAGTTGTTGTTGTTGTTGTTTCCCTATCTGGTTTTGGCATCAGGGTAATAATACTAGCCTCATAAAATGAGTTTGGAAGTGTTCTCTCTTCTATTCTTTGGAACAGTTTGAAAATTATTGGTGTTAATTCTTACTTTTTGGTTGTCTGCTTTGGAACTTTTGTTTGTTGGGAGGTGTTTGTTTAAAGTATGTTTTTATTGAGTTTTAGAGATAGAAGGCAGAGGGATAGAGAGAGAGAAACATTGATAAGA